AGATGATCCAGGGCTGAGAAGCCAGGCCCATACAGAGCTCCCATGGGACGTTGGGGGCTGTGCAGCTCCTGGGCTGTCTGGCCAGGGTCATGGAGTGCAGAGGTGGGAGGCAGCAAGGCCAAGGTGGGCCAGAGGGTGGACAAGTTCAGACAGGTGGAGCGGAGGGACAGATGGAACGGCACATTCCGGTCTGGGTGCTGACTGGGGGTGGGGGCAGGAGGCCAAGACCAACAGAGCAGCATAATGGGTAAGCCAGGAGGCGGTGGGAGCTTTTTCAAAAAATTTTGGTTTCTGTTTTTTTTTCTTTATTTTATTTTTAATGATTGAAACAAGAGATCAAACCTTCAGCTTCTGGAAGAACTGTTTGTGCCTCCCCTGGGACTTGGCCTTGGCCTACTGCCAGCCAGGGTTAAGGACCAGGGTTTCTGGCCTTCCCAGACTGAGCAAGGCTCAAGAGTGTTGAATCCCCAGAGGAGTGGAGGTGCTGTGACTGGAGTTGGGATGCTCATTCTGGAAGCTTCCAGTGGAAGGAAGCATAGATTGACATGGCAGTGTTGACAAAGACCGCTTTGTGTGTGCTTGGCACACATTCCCCAGGGGCCCACTCCGCGTTCTTAGCACATCTGGACAGGGCACAGAGGCCACCACTGAATAATAATGCCACCCGCCCTTGGGTAATTTCCACACCTTTAAAAAGAGAGGCCAGGATGGTGTCCTGGCGATTGGTGGCCGCCCACAGTGAGCCATTCACAGACATATAAATGGGTTTTCAGGGGCTGGGGGGACTGCACGCCCCTGGCCCCGAGGCATGTGTGCTGCCGTGCGGATCTCTGGGAGGATGCGGGCTGTCCTGCGGGCTGTCCTGCTGGCTCACTTCTCAGTGCCTAGGACCCAGGCAGTGTGGCTGGGGAGGCTGGACCCTAAGCCGGTAACAGCCCTCCTGTTGGTGCTAGGGGCCCAGGCCCCACCCGTGGGGCCACACAGCCGCTGGGTTACCCTCCCTGAGCCAACCCAGACTGGCACTGGCTATGGGGGGATGGGCTAGCCTGAGAAAGGGGCCCTGGGCTCCCAGATAGAGAGAGGACGCCTCCACGGGCTGGAGGGACTGGCCCCCTCACCAGCTCCTCCTCCACCAGCTTCTGGGGTCCTGCTATTTTCTTGCCGTGGCCTCAGGTGAGAAGGGCTTTGCATTGGAGAAGGCCACGAAGAACGTCGAGGACGTCATGGTGACCCTTACTCCAGAGAACAACCTGAAAATGTTGTCCTCCAGGCACAGGTGAGTGAGGTGTGTGCCCTGTGTCTGGGTGGGACTCATGCCGGGGTGGGAGAGGCCTCCTGGGCAAACCCCTCTCGAGCTACTGCTTGAAGTGGGTCATGATTGTGCTGAAGAACCACAGGTTCTTGGGGGACTCCAGGTACCCTCCCTCCCATTCCTACGTCTGCCTGCAGGAGATGTGGGGCCCGGGTGTACTGGGCCAGGCCTGGCCTTGGGACAAGCAAGGGCAGGGGAGGTCAGGGGTCGGATGGCAGCTCCACGGTGTGGGTGAGCTTGGTCCCACGGGCCATGGTGTGGCCCCACAGCCACGTGGCTGGGTGGTCCCAGTGAAGCTGGGTGAATCAGACTTCCAAATACAGAAGCTGGGCCTCTGGAGTCCTTGGGCCCTATGCAAACCCACGGATGCCATAGGAGCCACGGGGATGCCACTTGGCTCAGACCCCATTTTTGGCATCTGCTCATCACACTGATTGGTCAGCAGCCTCTCCTGGTGCCAGTGTCAAGGTGCATCTCTGTCCAGGGACCTGGGCCAGACACTGATTTGGAAAGATGGATTGTGCTGAGGCCCCACCTACAGACACACATTCGGGTCAGGGCTTGGAGGAGAGGCAAGTGGGCCTCTCACGTATTGCTGTGAAATGAAATTTCATTCGTTGGCCTTTGGACAGGAAAGATACTTGCATGGCTCAAAAATCAGGGTTCCCCAGGGTGGACCGTGGGGGTCCTTCCCCACCTGCCTCAGCCAGCCCGTCTCCTCCCTGCGGGTAGCCCGTGTTAGGAACGTGAGGGCGGGCACACACCGGCACCCGTGTGGCATTTGCCGACGCACACTGGGGGTTGTTCCGATCAGTCCACAGAGGCTCTGCTCTCTTTTAAAACATTTCCAAGTTTGTTCTCTTTTGTCTTTATGACATTTTTCAAAGTTGTAGGAATATAAACACAGCGCAGAAGTTTACTGTCCTCGCTCCTTCTAAGCGCACAGCACAGGAGCGTCAAGCACATTCACACTCTTGGGCAGCCGTCCCCCTCCGTCCGTCCCCGTTGAACACGGACCCCTCCCCGCCCCCGCCCCTATTTCTCTGGGTCCGACTCCTCCGGGGCCTACGGAGAGTGGATCCTTTGAGACACACGGTAACCACGGCCCAGCCCTCGGGGCCCCAGCCCACCTGGCCCCTGCCCACCAAGGCCCAGATGGGCAGCCGGGGCCCTGCGCAGGGGCTGTGCCTGCCTGTTGGTGTTGGACCCGGGCCGGGCCTCAGGCCAATGTCAGTGTCCAGTGGGTTCCTGGGGGCCCGGCTGGGAGCCTGGCACGGGCGGCTTTGCCAGCACGCTCTTCACAGTTTTCAGGGTTCTGGTACATTCTGGCTGTCACCTCTGAGGACCAGAGATTCTTGCCAGGCAGAGACAGGAGGAAGCTGGGGGCATCGATGGTGGAGGTCCACAAAGCAGGCCAGCTGAAGGTGGTCCTTGCCTTTAGCTGGTGAGTGGACCGCGGTGGGGGCCCAGCACACTCTTCACGGAGCCCTGACCACAAACAGCCCAGACATCTCCCCGTCAAGAGGGGAAAGGGAGCCGGGGGTGCGGGGAGCCAGAACCATGATCGTCTGCACATCTAACAGAACATCTCTGTGGCCCCGAAACCCTTCCTGCCCCTAAAATTCAAGGCCTGATTTTGGAAGAGGCCACCATGTACACGGGAGCACTCGGCAGAGAGTGGGAGTTCCGAGGGTTTCCCTTAAGCTGTGGGTCTGGCTCTGCTCCAACCTGGAAAATTCCAGAAAACCAGAGGCAACAAAGGGCTTCCGCCTTGCCCCCCCTAGGTCACAGGGGTGCCAGTCACACACGTTAATTCTGCGGAAAGATAGGAAAAAGGCGATGTTCAGGAATCCTTGTGTGGATGAAGGCCTGGGGCCTGGAGATAAAGTCCTGGGGGTGGGCGTGACCCGGCTTCACGGCCACAGGCCAAGGAGATGCAACTCCTCTGTCCCAGGGCTGGGTGGATGGGAGGGACAGCGGCCCCCAGTGAGGGCAGGCAGGCCACGGTCCCAGAGCCCACAAGCATGCAAGTGCCCACGGCCTAGGCCTGGAAGGGGGTTGGGTGTGTGGGAGGGACTCCTGACCCTTCCCAGTGGCCCCTGCTGTTCCGGGGAGGACCCCTTCCTGGCTTGCAGATGGCCGTCTTCTCACTTTGTCAAGTGTCGGGGAGAGGGCCCTGGTGTCTTCCTCTTCTTATATGGGCACTGACCCCATTATCAGCACCCAGCGAACCCCACACCCCTCCCAAGGCTCCGGGACCTCACACGATCCCTCTGGGGCTCTGATGGATGAATCTGGGGGGACACGAAGACACAGTCTGTTCCTGTCATGGCCCTTGCGCTGCGGGCTGGCAGGAAGTGGGAGGTAGGAGGACAGGGCCGGGACACACACAGCAAATGGGGTGGCCAGGTGG